CCAGCAGCACCACTGACTTTAAGGAGGTGATCAGTGTCCTGGATGCGTCTTTACCGGACAGCACCTGGACCTTTGAGAGCCAGCAGGTGAGCAGAGAGTAAAATTATCTTCTTTATGCACATTTACAACTGAGAATCTTTTAGTTTTTACATGATTTATTGCCTGTTTGTCCTCAAGGATTGGATTTGATATGATGACATTTTTTCAAGTATCACCATAGTGAGATTTATATTATAATATTTGTTTCATGTGACATGAAGGAGCAAAAAAGGCTTTTTTGTCACATGTATTTCCTACACACATGCAACTGAACATTTGACGCTGAAATAATTTCACATTCTTCACAAATCACTCGCTAAATGTCAAAAATGAAAATGAAAAAAAAACGTACTAAAATAATCTTAGTCCTTGTAGGATTATGACATATAGTCTATTTAGCATTACAACTCCTATATGCTGCTTCAGATATAATAGACTTTAATAAACCGCCTTTTGTTGCTGTCGAGCTATATGGATAATTGATTTTGAACATGACCTTTGAAGATATGCTATTCATATTCCAATTTATCGAATTTAATCTTAGCCTGTGCTGAAAGTTCCCTCTTTTTTTTATTACATTGGTGTGAATTTCATATTTACACATCTTGCAAAATTGATATGAAGTTAAATATTTGAATGGCAACATGACTAAATTTCAAGGAATTGTTACAACAATTATCAGTAAAATGAATTATAATCTGATTGACTCCTGGGTTTGTTTTTAAAAGGTATTCTTTGTAAGAAGCACCTGGTTGTGCCATTTCTGGCATTCTTGATCTGCAATACTGGGGCTGTAGCACATTTCTGTTTCAAGCTCATTGGATGTAGGTTAGATGCTCTGCACCAATAGAATTAGGAGCTGTACAAAGAGATCTATTCCCTCCCCCACCCATTCTCAACACTGTAGCCAGTACATTGCTCCGACCCGAGATGAGAGGAGGATGCGTTGAAACACTCAGATTAAATAACATAACTTTAATTCGCATGTCAGGATGCATACATGCGGATATCTTTGGAGTACAGCAAGTTCATCTTTGATGGATTTTCATATTGACGTCTTTATTCGGAATGACACGTCGGTGGGAAATAATGTCCTGTTGTAAGGGACCGAGGATGACAAAGAGAATGGGATACGGAGACTGGAGGTGGCAGGCGCTTTGGTGGCATCATTTCTTTCTCTTGTGGAGTATAACAGACGGACAGACAAGTTACAGCATCCCGGAGGAGCTGGAGCGAGGCTCTGTGGTAGGAAATCTAGCCAAAGATCTTGGTTTGGGACTGTCTGAGATTTTTGACCGTAAGCTGCGAGTCGCCTCTGAGGCTGAAGAGCAATATTTCACTGTGGATGCGGGGAAGGGCGAGCTGGTGGTGAATGACAGAATAGACAGAGAGGCTTTATGTGGACAAAGCGCCAGCTGTGTTCTACCTCTGCAGGTTGTAATAGAGAACCCGTTACAGTTAAACCGGATAGAAGTGGAAATAAGAGACGTGAACGACAACGCTCCTCGTTTTCTCAAAAGCGATCATATAATAGAAATAGCTGAATCCACCGTTGTAGGTGTGCGTTTTCCCTTAGAGAGCGCAGAGGATCCCGATGTTGGGAGTAACGGATTGAAGACGTACACGCTTAGCAAAGATGATTGCTTCATTTTAAAAGTAAAAGAAATTGAAAATGGAAGAAAAATACCCGAGTTAGTTTTAAATAAATCATTAGATCGGGAGAAAAAGGCAATTCACAATTTATTTCTTACTGCAATGGACGGAGGAAACCCGGTTAAATCTGGAACTTCAAAAATAACTATAACAGTTCTTGATATTAATGATAATGTGCCATTATTCGAACACAACGTTTATAAAGTGGCTGTTCAGGAAAACAGTGCGAATGGCTCGTTTTTAATCACAACAAAAGCCACGGACATAGACGAGGGTGCAAATGGAGAAATTGAATACTCACTTGGCATACACACACCACCATCGGTGCTGTCATTGTTTCATATAAATGCCGTCACTGGAGATATATATTTGAAAAAACAGTTAGATCATGAAGATCAAACCTCATATCGAATAGATGTTAGTGCAAAAGACAAAGGCTTGCCTAAGATGGAGGGTCACTGCAGTGTGCAGGTGGATGTCTTAGACGTAAATGACAATCCCCCAGAAATACTGCTGACTTCAAAACCCACTATTGTACCCGAAGACTCTCGCAGTGGCACAGTTGTTGCTTTGCTCAAAGTCAGAGACCTTGATTCAGGGGATAACAGTAAAGTCACTTTACAGCTTCCCAAAGGTTCTCCTTTTACTTTAAAACCATCATTTTCTAATAATTATGCACTAGTTACCAGTGGTGCTTTAGACAGAGAGAGTTTCTCTGAATATAATATTGAAATAACAGCCACTGACTCAGGCTCTCCTCCTCTGTCCAGTAAGAAAATTATACCAGTCAGCATCACTGATGTGAATGACAACCCTCCTGTATTCTCTCAGCCCTCCTATAATGTGTATTTAAAGGAGAATGGGGTACCAGGATCTATACTGTACTCAGTATCAGCCTCTGACCTGGATTTTGGTGAAAACGCTAAAGTCTCTTACTCTATACTGGACTCTAAAGTGCAGGACGTGTCTGTCTCGTCGTATGTTTACATTAACTCAGATAACGGCAGCATCTACAGCATGCACTCGTTTGACTATGAGAAACTCAAGGTGTTTCAGATTCAGGTTCAGGCAAAGGATCAGGGCTCTCCGTCTCTCAGCAGCAACACCACCGTCCATGTTTTTATCCTGGACCAGAACGACAACGCCCCCGCTGTCATTTACCCCTCCTCCGCTGCCCTGGGCTCCCTCTCTCATCAGAGGATGCCCCGCTCCGCTAAAGCGGGTCACCTGGTCACTAAGGTGACGGCCGTGGACGCTGACTCGGGCCATAACGCCTGGATCTCCTACAAACTGGCGGAGGCCACAGACGCCTCTCTGTTCACTGTCAATCTGTACACAGGGGAGGTGAGGACTAAACGCGCTGTGTCCGAGCAGGACGACTCCTCTCAGAGGCTGCTTATAGAGATCAAGGACGACGGGGAACCGGTCCAGTCCTCCACCGTCACGGTGTCCATCCTGCTGGAGGACGGTCTCCATGAGCCCATCTTAGACCTCCGACACAAAGTGAGCGAGCCCAGCAAGAAAACTGGGAGAATCACCCTTTATTTGATTCTCTCTCTGGCCTCGGTGTCCGTGCTGTCTGTGGTGACTTTTCTCATCTTAGCGGTTAAATGCATCAGGAGCAGCAGAAGCAGCGGTAGTTGCTGCATGAGACAGAGTGACTGTGATGATTACAAGAACCCCAACAGAAACCTGCAGATTCAGCTCAACACTGATGGACCCATAAAGTACGTGGAGGTCCTGGGAGGAGACATGTTGTCTCAGAGTCAGTCCTTCAGGTCCTGTAWGTCWCCAATGTCAGAGTACAGTGATTTCACTTTGATTAAGCCCAGCAGCACCACTGACTTTAAGGAGGTGATCAGTGTCCTGGATGCGTCTTTACCGGACAGCACCTGGACCTTTGAGAGCCAGCAGGTGAGCAGATAATAGGACATTTTGATATTCACATGACATGTTTGTTATTGTTTAAATAACATATGATGTTTGATTTTCGCCTGGTAAAAACGATAAAAATTGAATTTTCATCTTCATTTTTATCAACCTCATATTCAAAATGTATGAGCACTGGAATATAATTTTGTCAGGTTAATACTTATTTAATAGTGCAATTAAGTGTCCAGCCAATATTTTTTATTCTGCCCAATTTCGATTCTCCAGTAACTCAAACTTGCAAAACAAGATTTGTCTAAACAACAGTAAAAAAAAGACCCTGTGCTTTGGTATTGTAGTAGTGAATTTTTTTTTTCATTTTTGATTGAAGACAAATATTGATTCATTTAACTTAATGTACGTGTTTAACCTTTCATAGTATAAATGGGACATAGCTATTCGTTTCTATCTGTTGAAGTGGTGTATACTGAATACACAGTATATATGATTGTATTTGATAAAGCTCCAGCAGCACAAGTTTAAAACCTGAGGAATATATCACACACTGTAATGCGTCTCTGCCTCCTCTCATGGGCGCAGCTCTGTGTTTAAATGCACTGCTCAGTCGTCTTCCTATTGGATGCTGGCGAGAGATGCTGTGCACCAATCCCATACAGAACTGTACAAAGAGATCTACCCCCTCCCCGTGTCTGCCTCGGCACCATAAGCGTTAACAATGCAAAGAGCTGGAGGACGGTGGGTGATGCATCTCGGAGATCAAGACGAGAATTTCCAATTTAAGTTTCAGAGATGAACGAAAATGCGTTGTATATTTTTATGGGGGTAACTAACGCTCTTTTGGAATTGGATATTATCTTCGATTTTCTCGATGGGAAATAACATATTCTAACGGACCGGGGATGACAAAGACAATGGGATACCGAGACTGGAGATGGCTGGCGCTTTGGTGGCATCATTTCTTTCTCTTGTGGAGTATAACAGACGCACAGACTCGTTACAGCATCCCGGAGGAACTGAAACAGGGCACTGTGGTAGGAAATCTAGCCAAAGATCTCGGTTTGGGACTGTCTGAGATTTTTGATCGTAAGCTGCGAGTCGCCTCTGAGGCTGATGAGCAGTATTTCAGTGTGGATGCGGGGAAGGGCGAGCTGGTGGTGAATGACAGAATAGACAGAGAGGCTTTATGTGGACAAAGCGCCAGCTGTGTTCTACCTCTGCAGATCGTTCTTGAAAACCCTCTAAGTTTACATCGCATTGAGGTAGAAATAAAGGATATAAACGACAACTCACCCAGATTTCACACAAAAGAAATGTCTTTGAAAATAGCTGAATCTGCAGCAGTGGGATCTCGTTTTCTTCTCGAGGGCGCAGAGGATTCAGACGTTGGAAGTAATGCGGTGAAATCCTACACTTTGACCAAAAACGAATGCTTTTCGTTGAAAATGAAGGAGGTTGAAGATGGAAAAACAGTCCCTGAGTTAGTGTTAGAGAAGCCTCTTGACCGAGAGAAGAAAGCAGTTTATCGGTTACTACTGACTGCGTTAGACGGAGGGAACCCAGTCATGTCTGGTACCTCACAGATCACTATCCTAGTGCTTGATAACAATGACAACTTCCCAGTATTTGATAAAAATATATATAAAGTTTCCTTACATGAAAATATGGCAAAGGATACTTTTGTTGTCAAAATGACAGCAACGGACGCTGACGAGGGACCAAACGGTGAAGTTGAATTTTCATTTGCCTCACGGACACCTGCTTCTGTTTTATCAGTATTTGAAATAAATTCATTAACAGGGGAAATACAGTTGAAAGGAAACTTAGATTATGAAAGAACAACATCCTACAAAATTGAAATAAATGCGAAAGACCAGGGAGTTCCTGAAATGGAAAGTCAAAGTCGTCTTCAAATAGATGTTATAGATGTTAACGATAACACTCCAGAGATTGTTCTCACCTCTGAACCGCAGCCAGTGCGTGAAGACGCACCAAGTGGCACAGTGGTGGCTTTGCTCAAAGCACGTGATGCCGACTCTGGCAATAACGCCAAAGTGACATTGCAATTATCCAAAGGTTCTCCCTTCAATCTAAAACCATCATTTTCTAATAATTACGCGCTGGTTACCAGTGGTGCTTTAGACAGAGAGAGTTTCTCTGAATATAATATTGAAATAACAGCCACTGACTCAGGCTCTCCTCCTCTGTCCAGTAAGAA